TGGCTGAAGGAATGATCTTGAGTGAAACCTTCCAAGTGGCTGCTATTATCGAAAAGCTACCTCCTGGGTGGAAGGATTTCAAGAACTATCTCAAGCATAAGCGAAAGGAAATGAACCTGGAAGAGCTGATTGTTAGACTTTGAATTGAAGAAGACAATAGAGGATTTGAACGCAAAGGGTTCAATCCTACTATGGCTAAGGCAAATGTTGTGGAGCTTAGGCAAGGCCACAAGAACAAGAAGATTGCCAAGCCAAAGTTGGGACCAAAAGGAGGAGTTTCCAAGAACAAGTTTTAAGGAAAATGCTTCAACTGTGGTAAAATGGGGCATAGATCTATGGAATGCAGACTTCCGAAGAAGAAGAATTATGAGACAAATATGGTGAGTGGCATCGCTCAAGACGTGTCAAACATAAACCTTTCTGCAATGGTTTCTGAAGTAAACTTAGTTGGGTCCAATCCGAAGGAATGGTGGATTGACACTGGTGCTACTAGGCACTTATGCTCCAATAAGGACCTGTTCACAAATCTTGAACCAATTAATGGGGAAAAGGTTTTTATGGGAAACTCTGCCTCTTCTGCTGTCGAAGGCCAAGGGAAGGTGTTTCTGAAGATGACCTCAGGAAAAGAGCTGACTCTAAACAATGTTCTTTATGTGCCAGAAATCCGAAAGAACCTGGTTTCTGGGTCTCTATTGAACAAGCATGGATTTCGTATGGTATTTGAGTAAGATAAAGTTATTTTGTCTAAATCCGGAATGTTCGTGGGGAAGGGATATGTAACTGATGGGCTTTTTAAGCTCAATGTAATGACAATTATCAATAAAGATAATAAATTTTCCGTTTATTTGCTTGAGTCTTCCAATTTATGGCATGGTAGACTAGGACACGTTAATTATGATACATTGCGTAGATTAATTAACTTGGAACATATACCTTCATTTCAAATTGATTCAAAACATAAATGTGAAATTTGTGTTGAGGCAAAATTAACGAGATCATCATTTCAAACAATTGAAAGAAACACCGAACCCCTTGAATTAATTCATAGTGATGTTTGCGATTTGAAATTCGTACAAACGAGAGGTGGTAATAAATATTTTATTACCTTTATCGATGATAACACTAAATACTGTTATGTGTATTTGCTTAAAAGCAAAGATGAAGCCTTAGAGAAATTTATTCTCTATAAGAATGAAGTTGAAAATCAACTTAATAAGAGAATTAAAAGATTGAGAAGTGATAGAGGTGGCGAGTATGAAGTACCAATTGGTGAATTCTGTGCACAACACGGAATTATACATGAAATAACTACGCCTTACTCTCCTCAATCAAATGGTGTTGCTGAACGTAAAAATCGCACATTGAAAGAAATGATGAACGCGATATTACTAAATTCAGGTTTGCCTCAAAATATATGGGGAGAAGCTATATTGTCAAGCAATTACCTTTTAAATAAGATACCTCAAAAGAAAGAGGATAAAACCCCTTATGAGTTATGGAAAGGTAGGAGACCATCCTACAAACACTTACGAGTGTGGGGGTGTCTTGCAAAAGTGGCGGTTCCAACACCAAAGAAGACAAAGATAGGTCCTAAAACGGTGGATTGTATCTTTATAGGCTATGCACATAACAGTAATGCATATCGATTTCTTGTGCATGAATCAAAAATTTCAGATATACACAAGAATACGATCATGGAATCTAGGAATGCATCATTCTTTGAAAATGTATTTCCTTGTAAATCCAATGATGGATCAAGTTCATCTAAACGAAAGAATGAAACTATGAATGAAGAAAGTCACGATTCGGCTCATGAAATTCATGACTCAGATCATGAACTAGAACCGAGACGTAGCAAAAGAGCAAGAGTGGAAAAATCTTTTGGAAATGATTTTCTAACTTATTTGTTAGAAAATGAACCATTAAATTATGCAGAAGCTGTGAATTCCTCTGAGGGACCTCTATGAAAAGAAGCAATAAAAAGTGAAGTTGATTCTATTTTGCAGAATCATACTTGGGAGCTAGTGAATCTTCCTCCTGGTTGTAAGCCTTTAAAGTCCAAATGGATTTTTAAAAAGAAAATGAAAGCAGATGGCTCTGTTGATAAGTACAAAGCCAGACTTGTGATCAAAGGATACAAACATCGAGAAGGCTTAGATTACTTCAATACTTATTCTCCTGTGACGAGAATAACTTCCATTAGGATAATACTTGCAATTGCAGCATTGCGAAATCTCGAAGTACATCAAATGGATGTAAAAACAGCTTTCCTAAATGGTGATTTGGATGAAGAAATCTACATGGAACAACCTGAGGGTTTTATAGTTCCAGGACAAGAACGGAAAGTCTGTAAATTGGTGAAATCATTGTATGGCCTAAAACAAGCACCAAAGCAGTGGCATGAAAAGTTTGATAATGCAATGATTACCAATGGTTTTAAGATCAATGAATGTAATAAATGTGTCTACATTAAAGAGACAACAAATGGCTATGTCATTTTGTGTCTTTACGTAGATGACATACTAATTGTTGGTAGTGATGATAAAATGATCAAATCTACCAAGTATATGTTGAATTCAAGATTTGACATGAAAGATATGGGACCTACTGATATGATTTTAGGAATTAAAATCACAAGAACATCAGAAGGTCTTATTTTAAACCAGTCACATTATGTGGACAAGATTCTTGAAAAATTCAACATGAATGATTCTGGTATTGCTAGAACACCATTAGACAATAGTCTTCATCTTTCCAAGAATAGAGGAGAGGGTATTTCTCAAGTAGAGTACTCTAGAGTTGTTGGAAGTCTAATGTACTTAATGAGTTGTACTAGACCAGACATTGCCTATACGGTTGGTAAATTAAGTAGATATATAAGCAATCCGAGTGCTGACCATTGGAAAGCAATAGTGAGAGTATTCATATACTTACGATATACTCGGAATTATGGCCTGCATTATACCAGATACCCAGCTATTCTGGAAGGATATAGTGATGCGAACTGGATATCTGATATAAAAGACTCAAAATCTACTAGTGGATATGTATTCACACTAGCAGGAGCAGCCGTATCTTGGAAATCCTATAAACAAACTGTTATAGCCAAATCCACAATGGAATCTGAATTTATAGCATTAGATAAATGTGGTGAAGAGGCTGAATGGCTACGCCATTTCTTAGAGGATATTCCAAAATGGCAAAAACCTGTGCCACCAATAAGTATACATTGTGATAGTCAATCTGCGATTGGAAGAGCACGGAGTAATATGTATAATGGTAAGTCTAGACATATACGTCATAGACATAATACCATTAGACAACTACTCTCAACAGGAATTATCTCTATTGACTACGTAAAGTCAAGGGATAATATTGCTGATCCGCTAACCAAAGGGTGAAATAGAGAGTTAGTTGAGAAATCAACAAGAGGAATGGGACTGAAGCCCATGAAAGAATAAGTTGGTATAAAGGAAACCCAACCTAGTTGACTGGAGATTCCAAGATCTAGGTTCAAAGGGACAACCTAATTATATAAACTTAGTGATGTCACTATGGGGGTTATCCCTAAAACCATTCCTATATAAAATAACAGTGATATTGTAATGGAAAGGATAGCATTTTGCTTTAATGATTCTTAAGTGGAGTAAACAAATTACTCAAAATTAAGTAATCACCTATGTGAGAGAGAAGTGGGGCCGCTTCAAAGGAGAATTATTTAAGGGCTAAATTCTTTAGAAACTCTTGCGAGAACCAGGTTGATGTTCATGGCCAAAACGAACATAACTATGAGAACCGAACAAACGTTTAGATGATTCCTGTGTGAAGTGTATGGTTCATTTACATAAGAAAGCTGGACAGTTCAAGGACATCATGTCTACTGGACAACTAGTAAAGTAAATATACTTTCACAAGAAAAGGTTCAAAGGGTAACACCTACCTATCCTATGCAGGTTTCAATTGTTGAACACTATCACAGAGTCAAAACTAAAACAATTTTCATTCATGTGGGGGATTGTTGGAAATATGGGATAAATTGATGGGTGAATGAATGAGAAATTGATGCTCAAAGAACACCCTTGAGTTGGAAGTGGGAAGTGGAAAAACACTATTCCCACATCGGAAAAGAAAGAAGGCTATGGAGTGCTTTATATACAGTTACACTTATTTGAAGTGGTAACTATCATAGCACAAACTCTCTGCCTCGCGCGCAGGCGCAGGGTGGGTGCAAATCCGACGCCCGACAAGTTGAAACTTGGGCGCGAGCGCACATCCCGCGTACACGATTGCAGGACCGAAAAGTGGGCCTCGCGACGAGCCCAATTTTGCCTTCTGATTTATTTTTTTTCAACTCAAACTGTTACGAATTTCGTAACGTCGCGATTTAATCAACCGTTATTCCCATGCGTATTGATTTTATAACGGCAGATTTAATCCCATGCGTATTGATTTTATAACGGCAGAATTAATCGTCCGTTATTCGTATTGATTTTATAACGGCAGATTTAATCGTCCGTTATTCGTATTGATTTTGTAACGACAGATTTAATCGGCCGTTATTATTCCCGAAATGCTCTCCCCTGCGTTCTATTTTTTTATCGAAATCATTCTTCCTCTGTTTTAAAATTCTTTGCATTTGCACTGTTTTTCGGTAGTGTTCATTTTCAAGTTTGTTCAAGTTCGCCGAAAGCTTGGAAGTGCCGTGATCTCTTCTTCGCTGTCAACCGTTGTATCCTGGGAGACAGACGTTCACGAAACCTCAATCGCGTACTGGAGGGAACGAATCTGTTTTAAGGAAACTGTGTCAAACACAGGCCTCGGTATTCATTTGTATCGATTCCGACTTTGTTATTGCAATTTCGTTTCTTTACAATTCTGTATTGTTTGTAATATTTATGCTAATGCCGATTTGAATTTTCGCAACAAATTTCAAGAACAACGCCTTTATATATATATAGCCAAGCTGATTAGCTATAGAAGCAAAATTCAGGGTCAGCAAAATGGTCACTTTTCCAAGGATTGCGGCAGCAGTCATAGCTGCGCTTTTTCTCATTCTCGGTTCTGCGAGGAGTGCTCCAGACACCACTCTAGTGAGCAAAATATGCAACGGAGCAACATATAACCCGTTCAGTACCTATGCTACTAATGTCGCCCAAGTTCTCCTGTGTCTGCCTGATGCGGCATATTCGGGTTTCAATAAGTACTGCCAAAGCACGGAGAGTAACGACGATTGTTACGGCCATGCGGCATGCAATGGGGCGCTTCATCAACCAGATTGCGCCACATGCCTGGAGGCAATTGTGAACAGGATAAATAATGAATGTATGTTGAGCATTGGGGTTCAATATCAGCTTAAAGACTGCAGACTTCGATACGAGCATTATCCATTTACCGAGTAGCCATATTTACTTCTTTGTAAAGAGCTCCAAGCTCTGCTCCTACCCAAATATTTATACTCACATGGGGACTAATATGTCTCCCCTTTGAAATAAGTGATAAGTACTTGTGCGTAGTTTTTGGCAGATCGGGTCACGTGAATCGGGCCAAGTTGTTATAGTATCAGATAATGAAACTTTTTCGAATGAAGTGTTATTTAGGCTCAATTAGTAGATGCCTTAATGGAAAATCCACTATCTCAAAGTCCAAGTAATCTGAGAGAGACTTTCTTCAAATGTTTCGACGGGCTTGTATTTTAACTTGGCAATTTAGCATGTCTTATTCTAATTTATTAAGCTTCAATTGCTCTACGATTTAATCTTTAAAAAATTGGTCATGGAAAAATACCGTTGACCGGTCAAACTTATCCAAAAGAAGCTTGAGTTTTCTTTTCGTTGAGTCAATCCATATCCAATTTGCGCTGTAACTTTTATGTAGCTTTAGTGTTTTATCGACAAAATAGTGATTCCCACATCGCTCCGGACAACATGGCGATCAATGAATTTGAATGCCAAGCCCTTTAACGAAAGGGTTAATATTACGAAAAGCCATAAATTGATATACTTATGACAAATTTATCAAAAACTAATTTTTTGACCACAAAAACTCCAAACCGGTACACCTGTGACAAATTTACCCTCCTTTAGTTTCTGTTAAATTTTACCATCAAATTGTTGAGTTGAATGATACAAGGCAGTTGACGGGTGTACCATTTAGGGTTTTATCCCTCCGTTTGCACAAGTCTACTAATTTGTGATTTTTCATGGTATCAATTCAATTTAACGGAAGGTAAATTTGTTACAAGTGTACAAGTTTGGGGTTTTTGGTGGTAAAAAAATTAGTTTGTGGTAAATTTATCATAGGTGTACCAATTTGAGGTTTTTGATGGTCAAAAAATTAGTTCATGGTAAATTTATTAGAAGTTTACCAGTTTGAGATTTTTCGCGATATTAACCCTTAACTGATTGTCTTATCATTTGGCAATTACTTCTCCTTTTAGTGTTTGAGATTTCTCATTTATATACTACTATATATCTTAAACCTCTAAAAAAATATAATTAAGGTCGTTAAAGACCACATGAAATTTTTATACAATATTCCGGTAATTTAGTCTAATAATAGAACTGGGTTCCTTTTCGAAAGTTCTCTTAACATACCTTTGCGGAAAATGGAATGATCTTCATGACCCGCAGTTTTCTCTCTTTTGAAAGAGTTAAAAAATACTAGACCCAAAAAACAAAAAAAAAGAGTTAAAAAATAATTTTATTCTTTCTTAGGAAAGACAAATAAGATTAATTCTTTAATTCCAAAAACAACAAATGAATCGGCACCAAGGATTTTTCACGTTCTTGTCAGGACACTCCTATTCAGTGCTCTAGAACGCTAAGGAGGTCTATAGAATGTATTTAACTCTCGCCAAATGCTGTGGTGTTTTGTAGTAGAGAACCATATTACTTCAGTACAATCCTCTTTTGGATAAGGCCTGTCTAACGGGTGTGTCAAGTCGAGTTAGACTTGGATTAGGTAAAAAATAATCTGATCCAAATTAATCAATTTAACCCGTTTTGACCCATAGTCATCCCATACTTGACCCAACCCCACCAAGGATCCATTAGAAGCAATTTTTTTCTTTAGTTGTTACTTTTAAAGAATGGTTAGCTCCATAGACCAGCCCATTGAGTTAGTAAGGGAGCTCGGGGGTCGGGGTTTGGACGGGGGCATGAAGTTAGTGGTAAAAGTCCCGCCCAGGTCATCCCTCAATCATGAAATGTGTTCGTACTTTGGGCCTATGCTAACATGGCCTTTTTTTTTTTTATATCTTATGGTTCATTTAGGTGTAACACTGTTATTTTCCTTTTATTTTGTTTGTAAGGCATATTATACTTCATTTTTTAGTACTTTCGATTATACTTTCCAATTATCTGACTCTTTAAAAGTTGATCCGCAAGAGTCAAAAGTAGAAATCGCCGCATTGAGACACTCCGCTGATACTTTTCAGTCATGCATTTGCATTAGAAAATTAGCACATGTTTTAATTATAGTAATCACGCTCTAAATAGCCTATCTTTAGTCAAATAAGCGAGATGGTGTCATATAATGCAAATCAATCATTAACAGATTTATAAAAAAAATTGCGGTCATGAACAGCCAGGATTCCACCATACCAATTACTTCTGAAATGATATGCCTGCGCACCGTAGGATACATAATTGCCCATGGAAACATAGGGACAACACTAGCCGACAGATTTTAATTTATTTTCCCGGTAGCCATGCATTCTTAATTAAGGGTAATCGGTTCCCGAGCGATTTGGTTCTCACCCAAGAACCGGAAACCGGACCATTTAGTCCTAGAACCGGACCGGACCAATTCCCAGGTGAGTAAATGGAATTGGTGGCTCCCCCTGCCGTCGCCAGCGGCGAAGCACCTCTCATGCTTCCAAGCCGTGCCACTGCTTTCGGCGTCGCTTGTGATCGTCCTACTAATTGCCCGTCCAAATTTGGCCTCGTCCGTGGCTTGCGTGGTGGCTCGTCCACAGATCTGGCAAGCATGGACGATAGAGAAGTGGCTCAGCTTGGACGAGTCTCTGGTCCAACTTTGGAGTTGTGCCTCAAGATCTGGCTTGCGAACTTCCTGCTGGTGGGGTGACCATGGCCGTAAGCGACGACGAGGAGGGCTCGGCATGGAAACGCAAGCCTGGACAATTGCGCTGGTGACTCCGCTAGTCTAGATGTGGAGTCTGCAAACTTCCAAACTAGAGCTAGCGACGACAACACCTTCATGGCCGCAAGCGACGATAGAGAGGATGGAAAGGAGTGGCTCGGCTTAGACTAGCGACGCCAGTGATGACCATGAATGAGCAGATTTCTCTGGGCAACAAAGCGAAGAAGCTAACTCTTTGGGCAAGGAATCAAGGAGTAGCGAGTAGGGTTTTTCTTTTCAAATGTATAAGAAATAAAAAATAACAATCGGTTCAGTCCGGGTAGGCAATTTCACCCGTGAAACCGTAAGAACCGGTGACCCCGCAAACTGCCTAGAACCAGCCAACTAAGTTTGATTCAGGCAGTTCCTTTTGCTCAACCCTATTCTTAAGTGGCAAAAAGAAGTCGGATAAACTAATTTAAAATCATAAATGTTGAAAAGCTAATTTCCTAAAAGAAATTGAGTAGCTCCATCTTCTTCCCCAACCGGTGTGTAAGCCAACTCCTCTCTCAGGCCAAGACCACACTCGCTGCTCTACCACCTGGTTGGGCCGCAGCCTTTGCCAACTCGAATTTTAAGGACCTCCGGAGAACCGAGCTCCACACATACCATCCGTATCCGCAGTCAATTCACTCTCAAAATCCACCCTCTGTGACATCATCCGGTGCCCTTCGCCCATAAACCTGAGCTCCTCCCTGTCGAGGTTACAGGGAAGCAAGATACTTGTGACCACTTGCTTCCACTCAGTTGCAGAGGTGACAGGTGCGAAATCAGTTCATGTTCTTCATGGCTTATCTGAAGATCAGTCTTGGGACTTTTCCAAGAAAACTGCTTTTGAAGATGGAGACGAATCATTGGACCCCGGAGATAGGTTGAGATATAGTTAAAAAAAAAAAAAAGAAAAAAATAGAAAAAGGGAAAAAAGACTAAAATACCCTAGGCTACAGTATATTGGGGTAAATGTGTCACAAATAGCAAAGTTTGGGATTTTTGGTGTCACAAAAAAAAGTTTGGGGTAAATGTGTCACATAGGGCAAAGTTTGGGGTTTTTGGTGGTTTTTTCCCTTTAAAGAATGGTTAGCTCCATAGACCAGCCCATTGAGTTAGTAAGGGAGCTCGGGGGTAGGGTTTTGGGGTTTGGACGGGGGCATGAAGTTAGTGGTAAAAGTCCAGCCCAGGTCATCCCTCAATCATGAAATGTGTTCGTACTTTGGGCCTATGCTAACATGGCCTTTTTTTTATATTTTAATCTTATGGTTCATTTAGGTGTAACACTGTTATTTTCCTTTTATTTTGTTTGTAAGGCATATTATACTTCATTTTTTAGTACTTTCAATTATACTTTCCAATTATCGACTCTTTAAAAGTTGATCCACAAGAGTCAAAAGTAGAAATCGCTGCATTGAGACGCTCCGCTGATACTTTTCAGTCATGCATTTGCATTAGAAAATTAGCACATGTTTTAATTATAGTAATCACGCTCTAAAGAGCCTATCTTTAGTCAAATAAGCGAGATGGTGTCATATAATGCAAATCAATCATTAACAGATTTATAATAAAAATTGCGATCATGAACAGCCAGGATTCCACCATACCAATTACTTCTGAAATTATATGCCTGCGCACCGTAGGATACATAATTGCCCATGGAAACATAGGGACAACACTAGCTGACAGATTTTAATTTATTTTCCCAGTAGCCACGCATTCTTAATTAAAGGTAATCGGTTCTCGGGCGATTGGTTCTCACCCAGGAACCGGAAATCGGACCATTTAGTCCTGGAACCGGACCGGACCAATTTCCGGGTGGGTAAATGGACTTGGTGGCTCTCCCCGCCGTCGCCAGCAGCGAAGCACCTCTCATGTTTCCAAGCCAAGCCACTGCTTTCGGTGTCGCTCGTGATTGTCCTACTCATTGCCCGTCCAAATTTGGCCTCGTCCGTGGCTTGCTTGGTGGCTTGTCCACAGATCTGACAAGCATGGACGATAGAGAAGTGGCTCAAGTTGGACAAGTCTCTGGTCCAGCTTTGGAGTTGTGCCTCAAGATCTGGCTTGCGAACTTCCTGCTGGTGGGTCGACCATGGCTGTAAGCGACAACGGAGAGGGCTCGGCTTGGACGCGCAAGCCTGGACAATCGCGCTGGCAACTCCGCTAATCTAGATGTGGAGTCTGCGAACTTCCAAACTAGAGCTAGCGAAGACAGCTCCTTCATGGCCGCAAGCGACGACGGAGAGGATGGAAGGGGTGGCTCGGCTTAGAC